AACTTATCATTTTATCTACATTCATATCTAGAAGTCATAGTTCACAGAACATTTCCCATGGCACTATGCCCAACCCATCATATTATATTTCAAATTATTTCAAGCTGCAATAGATGCTCCTAAACCCAGACACTCTAAAAATCATGTTAACTATGATAATGCCATTAAAGTTTACTATTTTATGATGACCAGAAGGTTCTCTAAAGCCCAGTGTCAGCCATGTTAAGCGAGAAATAGCAACACCCAGTATGCCAGGAAAAGGAGGCAGGGTTAGCTCAAGTTGGTCTGTAAGATATACCAAAAAAGATAATACAAATTTTACAATGAAGGGCATCTAGAAACCTTCACTGAAGACCCAAAATTGAGCTTCCCAACAAAATGCACTAGCCACTCTTTGCAGGTATCCTCCGCTCCTGTCCAAATACAGGTCTCTCAACTTCTCATCTGGCTATTCTGAATTTCCAGAACTTCATCAGAACTGATTTAACACAATGAATACTAATGACAAAAGACCTGGTATCAAGAATGTCATTCATGAAAAAAGCAATAGGTCATTAAAATGACAGGAAGGAAGGAAGGAAAGAAAGAAAGATCAAAGTGGATCTTGAAAGAGATTCTGAAACTTGCTGTTTATCATTGAGTAGCTAAGGCAAATGGAAGAAATGATGAAGTCAAAAAGCTGAACAGAAAATTTTAAAAGGCAGTGTGACAAGACCAAGTCAAATACTATTATGCAATGTACACGCAAATGGAATTAGAAAACCAAAAGAGGAAGAGCACGTTCAGCCTATCTTAAATTAAAACAACTTAAAAAAAGGCTCAATTTGCAGTGTTGAAAGATACTATGGGAAAAATATTGACTGATGCAGGAAGCATCAAGAGAAGATGGAAAGAATACACAAAGGCACTGTACCAAACAGAACTACTCAACATCCCACCATTTCAGAAGGTAACATATGAGCAAGAATCAATGGTGCTGAAGGAAGAAGTACAATTTGCACTAAAAGCATTAGCCAAAAGCAAGGCACAGGAATTTGTGTAATACCCATTGAAATGTTTTAATTAGCTGATGAAGAAGTGGAAGCACTCACTCATCCATGCCATGAAATCTGGAAGACAGCTAGTTGGCCAACTGACAGAAAGAGATCCATATTGGTATCCATTCCAAAGAAAGGTGGACCAACATATTGCTCTAATTATATTACAATATAATTGATATCACATGCAAGTAAAATGTTTATGAAATCATCCAACAAGTGTTGCAGCAGTACATTGATAGACCTATAGGAAACCTCATAATAAATGGAGAAGAGGTTGAATTTCTCATGGATTTTGTCTTGTTTGGATCCACAATCAATGCTCATGGAAGCAGCCATCAAGAGATCAAAAGATGTGTTGCATTGGGTAAATCTGTAGCACAGATATCTTTTTTTTAAACAGTTTTTTATTATCATTTCATCCATATATCATGTAATTCAATAATTCAATCATATCAAGAAGACTTGTACAATTGTCACCATATTCAATTCAAGAACATTTTCTTCTTCCTTGTACTCATTGTTATTCCTGTATTTTTTTCTAATTGTGAGAGAACATTCTCCAATTCCACATTTTCTATTTATATAATTCAATGTCATTAACTGTACTCTTTGTGTTGTACAACCATTATTGATATCCTTTTCCAAATTCTTCCACCACCATTGGCATCAACTCAATGGCCCCTAGGCATCAACTCCTTCCCCTAAGTCCATGGTAAGTAACCACTGGTCAAGTTTTTGGTTTTTTTCTCTTGTGGTTTTCTTGAGAAAAGTATTCATAAATCACACACTTCTATGTTAGATTGCTTTTAAAATGAGCTGTATATGCATAATCACAATCAGTTCTAGTGCTCCCTCCCTTCTCCCAGACTCATTGTTTGCTCCCCTCACACACCCTAGCAGCCCCTCCCATATGCATCTCCTCCATCTTCACAAACTGGGCCACCTAACAGAAACAATATCAAACAAAATCAAAATAAAATGGCAAGGATAAAATATTATTAACACAAAAATACAAATATAAATAATGAGTAAGAAAGAAAAGAATACCATCAATATTTAAACAGTCATGGAAGAAATTATTGTCATGGAAGAAATTATTGTCATGGAACAGGCAAGAAATTCAAGCTGGGTCAAGAACAAATTCAGGTTGGGTCAAGAAGGAGGTCAGCTAACCAAGTATCTAGTTTGATCCAGCATAATCAAGTTTACAATAATCTCTCTCTGAACGTAATGCTGTTTGTATCTCTTGTCTGTGGCTAGAGGGGCCAACCAGGGGCTTAATTGCACAGAGCTCTTCAGAGTATTGAAAAACAAGGATGGTACTTGAAGAACTACGGGGTACCTCTTCCAAGACAAGGAATTTCCAATTGCCTCCTATGCATGTGAATGTTGGACACTGATGAAGGAAGACAGAATAATTGACGCATTTGAAGAAAAATACTGAAAGTACCATGGACTGCTAAAAGGCCAAACAGATCTGTCTTGGGAGAAGTAAAGCCAGAATGTGCCAACTGAGTTGGTTCCGACTCACAGCAGCCCTATATAGAACAGAACGAAACACTGCCGAATCCTCGGCCACCCTCACAATCGTTACGTTTAAGGCCAGCATGGTGGCCACTGTGCCAATCCAGCTCATCTAAAGTCTTCCTCTTTTTCGCGACCCCGCTTCTTTACTACACATGATGCCCTTCTCCAGGGACTGGTCTCTCCGGAAAACATGTCCAGAGTACAAAAGGAGAAGTCTCAAGATCCTGTCCTCTAGAGCAGTGGGTCTCAACCTTCCTAAAGCTGCGACCCTTGAATACGGTTCCTCATGTGGTGGTGACCCCAGCCATAAAATTATTTTTGTTGCTACCTCATCACTGTAATTTTGCTACTGTTATGAATTGGGCAACCCCTGTGAAAGGTTGTTCCACCCCCAAAGGGGTCCCGATCCACAAGTTGAGAACCGCTGCTCTAAGGAGCATTCTGGCTGCACTATTTCCAAAACAATTTGTTTGTTCTTTCGGTGCTCCGTGGCACTTTTAATATTCTTCACTAGCTCTATAATTCAAATGTATTCAAATGCATTCTCCTTTCTTAATGGAATAAAAACAGTAGTACGTCTTATAATAGGTACTTTAAAATCAATGAAATACAATAGGTATTGAGCCCCTACTCTATACCGTGAACTGCATTAAGTGCCTTTCATATCAATCCTCCCGGGAATGGTAGGTATTATTATCCATTTAAAAAAAAATACTGCTTTGTCCAAGTCCCACAACTAGTAAGGGGCAGAATCTGTACAATTCTCCAAATGTTTGACAGCTCTTACTACTCTGCTCTGCTATCTCTCTTAATAAATAAATCCCCATGCAGGACCATGAGTCACAGTTTACATCATCAGTCTCCTTGACCTTCACTCATTCCCTGTCATCCAGTGATGAGAAAAAGATGCCTGAGTTGATTCCTCAGGGCTAATGACCAATTGCCTCACTGGCTTTGGAAGAGCCTCACTCTTAACCCTGTGCCTTTCAATTATCACCTAAAATGCAAGCCAGGTCTCTGGATTTTCTGCAATTGCCTAAGACACACATCTTTTATCCTTTGTCCAAAGCAGTGCAAAATTCCATGCTCCCCCTTATTCCCAATTTCATCAGCCAGCTCCACCATGTATTTATATTGTCAATCTCCTAACAACAGCCTCCATAGGAAGGAAGAAAATAATCACATTAAGTCCCATAGAGAGAGGACAGGGAGACCTGCTTTATCATTTTCAGCTTCCATGGGCTCATGATGGTCAGAGATAACTGGATAAGGATGTAACATAAGCACTGGTTATGTTATGGCAACAATCTATGGTAAAAGTCTACACTATCCATCATGAACTGAAAAACTAAGGATGACTTTAGAAGGAAATTAAGAAGGAAATATCAAATATTAATGGAGAAAAATATCAATTAGCTTTAACTACCCACTGTAGTCTCCTGAACCAAATCAACTTCATGAAGTAAATACATTCTTATTTCAACTTCCGTCTCACTGCTATCTGGTGAATGCTGACTCATAGTGACCTCCTATGAGTTTCTGAGACTGTAACTGTATACAAGAATATAAAGACCAGCCTTTCTCCCAAAGAACTCCTGGTGGTACTCCCGTAAAGAATTAGTCTTGGAAAACCACATGTGCAGTTGTAATCCATTCTATAGGATCCCTCTGAGTCAAAATAGACAAGACGGCGGTGAGAACAGAACATTACCCCACCCTGAGCCATCATCACTTCTGCGGTTTCACTTTTGAAGTCACTGTGTCATCCATCTCCTTGACAGTGTTCCTCTGTTGTGCTGACCCACTTTATCAATCATGATGTCCTTTTCCAGGGGCTGCACTCTCCTGATAACATGTACGCAATGTGTGTGATAAGTCCCCATCCCCTTGTGTCTAAGAAGCATTTTAGCTGTACTTCTTCTCTAAAATGGACTTGTTTGTTCTCTGGCAGTACTTTAAGTATTCTTAGTCAGCACCTTAATTCAAATGCATCAATTCTTCTTTGGTATTCCTTATTCATTTTCCAACGTTTATATCCCTATGAAGCAATTGAAAATGCCATGGCCTGGCTCAGGCACACCTTAGTCTGCAAAGTGACAACCTGGCTCTTCAACACATTAAACTGGTTTATGCAGAAGATTAACCCAATGCAATACATCATTTGCTTTTTCAACTTTGGCCTCTATGATCATTGACTATGGATACCAGCAAAATGAAATTCTTGTCTTTGATCTTTTCTCCGTTTATCAAGATATATCTACTAGTCCAATTGTGAGAATTTTGGTTTCCTTTAAATTGAGTTGTAATCCATCTCAAAGGCTGCACTCCTTCAGTGTATGCTGACAAATTTGCATAAAAATGGATATAAAATTTAAATATTAAATATCCTACAAGACTGAAGTTATGAAAAATGGTCATGAAAGCATCAAATACCTGAGGTACTCACAGCTGTAGAGTAGGGATTATGAGCTCCAGTGTTTTCAGCCCAGCAACCACATCCATAAAGAGCAGCCTGGGAAAAATAAAAATAGATAGATACAGTATTTCTGAAATAGTTTATGTAATTAGCAGATTTTAACAAAAGACAAAATTCACACCCAGCTAATAAATAATAAAGGCTGGCTTAGTAATGATGTACATCAGTTGGTGATACCAAAAGTTATGTAAATCCACCCAAAATGGTTTTGTCATTTTGTATGATTTTGAAGCTATATCTTCAGCTATTCTACTCATCTAAGCATTTTCATAATATAGCAAAAGAAAGTTTCCTATTCCCATCAGCAACAATTTTGTCACACTGACAAACTTTCCCCCGTTTTGTAGTCTTGTCAGTTGGTAATGCATTTGAGCTCTTGAGATCATTGTGGTTGCTTTAAAATAGTGATTCTCAAAAGTACATGTTTTCAAACTAGATGTGTGGAGCTAATTGGTGTGCTTCTTGATGGGAACCTTGATGCTGGAGATCCCAATTCAGTAGCTTTGAGGGTAGGTCAAGGAGTCTTTTATGAAGCAAGGCCCCCCAAAAGAGGCTGCAAGTGGCCTTCTTGTTGCACTCTGGGAAACTCTGCCTTTTCCTTGCCTTCCTTGGATGTCACAGAGGAGCTAGAGTTATATACCCGAGGTTCAGTGTATGCTACCACTCCGCCAGATTCTGCCAGAGGAACAAACAAAAGGCCCCATACCGGATTAAAGAGACAATTTTGTCAGGTGGTAGGATGGATTTATATGTTTGAGCAATTAGGAACACAATAAGCTTCTTTAGCGCTACAAAAGAACATGGTAATCGTTCCTGTTTTGTTTCCAGCAATGCCACCAAAAAATGCCTGGATTCGGCAGCTCACTCTCCACAGTGACTTCCCTGCACTTGATAAAAGGTTTCCACTCCTAAATTACAAACAGCTAAAAACTCTTAGCTAAGACAGAGAACTACAAGGAGGAACATTCAAGAGTGTTTGTGATCACATGATAGGTAAGAATGAAAACCTGGAAACAGCTGTTAGCCAGTAAATAAATGGAGAAATAAATTTGTGTATAATAATGGAATTGTAAAAGTTAAATGGTAATAGTAAAGCAGGTCTTTAGAAACAAAAAGATATCGATCTTCAGAAACAAAAAAGATATCCATAAAAAACTCTTGAGTGCGGGGAGGGGGGGGCGGAGTTTAGTTGGGCCACAACATATAGTATTCACTACCCCTGATGAGGGAAAAGATCCCCAGCAACAGTGCTGTGATTCTCTAGGCTTAGAGACCCTCTTCTGAGGACTTAGGGAAAGGGCTAAGATTGAAACTGATGACCAGACAGACATCAGCTTACTATACCTTGTTCTTATTATTTTTTACAAGGATCTTAGGATTCATTTGCTCTAAAATCCTATCCTGAACAAGAATCTCCATATAACATGCCAAGCACTTTCAGGACTGAGAACCCACTTCCTCGTGTGGGAAATTATTGAACATTTCCCTTCCCATTAGTGGAAGTTCTTCCTTAGACTGAAACAACTATCTACTTTATCATAACTTCTGCCTATAGGCCTTGGTTCTATTCTCTGGAAATATTGTAACCTCCCCATAACCTACCAAAAATTCTAAAAATAATTTTTTAAAAGAGGTATTCTAGTCTAATTTCTCTTTTAAGAAGCCCTAGTAACACGGTGCATAAGTGCTTAGCTGTTAACTGGAGCTGCTAATGGATCAAACTCTGGGAGAAAAAGATGTAGCAATCTACTTCCCCGAAGATTACAGCCTTGGAAAGTGAATGGAGCAGCTCCACTCTGTCCTACAGGGTTGCTGTGAATCCGAATTAGCTTTATGACATGGGGTTGATTTCTCTTAACATAGCCCAGATTTTTTAATTATTCTCCATGGTACTCCTCTAAATCGTCTTTCTTGATAAATAATCTGGAATCCAAAATAACATGTAAATTTAGACTCCAGGACCAGATGACTGCCAGGCTCAGTCTAATTTCTGAGACCATGCCTAAAGCCTCAGAGAAAGTAATGAAGAATGCTGTGGTGAACAGGAGCGAAGTCTCTCACATTCGTGTGTCCACAGTCACATTCCCCACTGTCTTTGACAATATCCCTCTTGCAAGCAGTACCAAGCACTGAACACAATGCTCTCAGTATGTCAGGCAGAAGAAAATTTAATATTGACTTTGAAAATAACATACTTCCAAAACACGCATGATTATTAGCCCTGGTGGGCAATGTGGTAACTGAAAGCTTTGTTGAACTAACTCAACACATGGGTTTTTAGAGTTTAGAGTGCAGACTTATGAGATAGCCATTTAATTGGCACTCCCCCCAAAATATGTGTTACAAAGCTTAGCTTCTGCCTAGGGTAATAATCCCATTTGGGATGGGTTGTCATTGGTAAATTAATGAGACAGGATGTATACCTTAAATCAATCTCTTTTATGATATAAAACAGATTAAACAAGTAAGGAAAAGAAGCAGTGGTAGAGGAAGAGAAGTGCCATGCAACATAAAGATCGACAAGGACAGGGCTGGATAAAGGACAATGTAACCGAGAGGAATTCCTGAAACCCAAATGAAAGCTGAACATGATACTGAGACAAGAGGAAAGTACAAAGAAATAGAGGAAAGAGCTAGGAGGCAAAGGGCAGTTATATAGATCTAAATACAGGAATATACAGATGTAAATATATTTATATATGATGAGGGGGAAATAAATCCATGTACATATATTTATATGTTTAGTATTAAGGAAACAGGTGGACAGTGGGCCCCTACTCAAGTACTCCCTCAACACAAGAACATTTTGTTCTAACAATTC